GATGCTTCCAGGCTTGGCAGCGGCGCTGGGATCGTTGTGTTCACTCCCAGGGGAACTACTTCGAGGGTGATGGATGAATTTAATACCTGAGATAAGTGTACGGATATTTATAGGCGCAGTCTAGAAACTTTCCGATCGCACCTCGTATATGCTACTTTAAGTGACACGAAATCTGAAGTTATTCGTAGTGTATACCACCGATACATATAGAATAATCCTATCTTACAATGAATAAATATAAACCTCGTGACATACTCCTAAAATCAAGCCAAAAAGTTCCTAGGAATTTATGGTCGTAACTGCTTTGTAAGCGAATACGTGAAGCGTTAGGAAATGAGACAAGTGACGCATTTTAGGATACAATTTATTTATTAAATTTCAACTTAAAGAGTATTAATATTTACAAAAAGTTTACAAAAGTTGCCTAAAAAGATTTCTGTTCGTTCTAATGTATATTTTATCTCGGTGACACCACGAAGTCCTTTTCGCCGAAACATTCGAGGTATATGTCGTATTGTTGCAGCAGCCGTTTGGATAAAACGCCATAGCTGGTCCCGCACGTGTTGAGTCAGCCCTTCCGGTAGAAGTCGGCAGGTGAGAGATCGGGAGATCGTGGAGGCCGAAAAACCGGTCCGTTTCGTCCTACCCATTGATCTGGATGGCGAAAGACCAACTGCATTACGTCTCGGGTAGAATGAGTAGGGGCTCCATGGCGCATAAAACACGTCTGTCGCATTACCCATGGCATATCCTCCGGTAGTTGAGGTGATTCCTCTTTTTAAAAGTGTAAAGATTAGGCTTCTGAGAGTCGGTGCGTTAGCTTGTAATGTCATACGAGATCATCGGTTATTCCCGATTAAATATAGTTATTATAAACTGATGGTAAAAGCGCGCCTTATGCTATGCAATGTTATCATGTCTTGGTAACAAGGAGGTTGGGACCAATGTTTATGGCTTGATTTTAGGAGTCCAATAATACTTAATATTTATTACATATAATTAACAATTATCCTGTATATATAAATTTAATGTTTATACTATTCATGCGAGTACAAGTTACTTCCTGTAACCCGTGTTGTCAAATTTCTACCCTAATTACGAAACACCAATTTTGGCATGTCTAATTAACATGGTTATAACTTAGGTGTAGATACACTACTTGATGGTTTCTTCCGGACAGCTGCACTCGACATCTGCTAAAATAAAAACAGTTTATTCTATATTACAGCCACTTGGATGATCTCGTGCATGTACACTGCCTACGCTTTTATGCACGACGTGTGATATTTCTTTTGTGTCTTGTTAAATTCAAGGGATAAACATATAACCCACAACAGAGCCAAACTGTGCGGTGTACTGCCTTCATGACACACTACAATAACCATAAATCCGATATGGGGTGTCCAATTTCACTTACCTAACGTTTAAACTAGCATATATTTCCACCTAGGAACAGAACTTGCAGTAAGAATATGTACCCAGATATCTTGCTCGGCAGATCATCTCAATAAGCCAAACAGACATAGACTAGAAGCTGACATGTTTGATACAATTCCAAACCATTCTGATATTTAAGCTTATTCGAAACTTAAAGTTTCAGAAGTGCGTTCTCTGTCTGTCTGCATATTAACAACCTGAACGGGTTTCTAAGAAATGTTATGTTGGCTTCATTTATTCATAGTTAATTTAATGACGACTTTGCCAAAATATGCTGAAATATTCCAGTTGTGGAAGAATTCGGACAACAATAATGGGCACTTTACATGAAGACCTACATCCGTTTCTGTACATGGACGTAACTGTGTGGGGAATCCCCGCTCTTAGTTTCCATGGTTACTTTGATTACACTAGCTGTCATGGTAACCTGGATAAAACAGCTTGCACCTCAAAGTAAAGTCGGGGTATTGTTTAGCTTAAATTTTTCAAAAGTGTGGTCTGAAATTTATTTTAGCTAAGTAGCATTTGGGGTTTTCACGGCGGAGAATACGAAGATGGATATCCGGTAGAAGTTTACTTCTGCCAGACTACAAAGAGCTACAATCAAGAAGACAGTCTCTGATCAAGAACGAAAGTTAGAGGTTCGAAGGCGATCAGATACCGCCCTAGTTCTAACCTTTTAACGAAGATTAAGCAATATAAAACTTCATCCAAGTACTGATACTTTCTTCCTGTAAGACGACTTTGCGCTCTTCTGCGAGAAAGGCCTAGTGTCAGGTAGGTAAAGGCGTGAAAGAGCAATCTCTTTTACGGGATCTTATCCGGGAATATTTCATTCTGTTACACAAAAAATCCTAATATTATGTAAGTAATGGAGCGAAATAAAAGTCTTCTTTGTAGATTTTTAGCCAAGATAATAATTTAGGTCTTTATTTTTTCATACGAAAATAAAGTTTAAAGTGAATGGAAATTCTCCTTATAAGAAATTTTAACTGTGTGATGTTCGTCTTGGTAGAGTCACGCTCGCTATAAAGCGTTTCTGTTTGGTCGTAAAAATTAAGGACAAGAGTGTACAGTCCGTGTCGGTTGGATGTGAAACCTGGGAGGCTCGCAGTATCGTAATTCTGCCCTGGTAGATACTGTTCCGTTCTTCTGTACGGCACACTTTCACATAAATGTTCTTAATGCAACCCAGCTCCATATTTTGTGTCAGCCGCGCAGTATGAGGTGGAAACAGTATCATAATTCCGTTGAGAATTTTATATCCAACTGTCAAGCACAAGAATTGAATTAGACGTTGTAGACCTAAACATAAAATGGGAATTATTCCAAAAGACAGGACATGCTGTTCTTCAAATATAACGATTTTCATGCTCAGGTTTTGTGTGTCACGTATGGGCCTGCACGTGGCTACATAAATCTAAGGAATTTTATTTGCATATCAATCTGATGTCTTACGGCGCCTGGTTTCCTTCAAACGCTTCAATCTTTATGACGACATTAGTAATAATTACAGCTCAAATGTAAGTACAATCTGTTATAGGTCTATATTTATTTACCAATTTCTATAATTTCCACTAGCAGTCCTAAATATTCCGACTATACTGCCATCCGTAGGAAAATGAAAATTTAAAAGCAAGTGCAAAACCAAACTTTTCTTGGTTATTTTCTTCCATTTTAGTTGCTTTGAACACGTCTTCAATGATTGGTGCATGGTAATTTTTCAGATTATGCGATTATCTGGGAGGGGAGACTTTACAAAACATAATATGAACCCTACCTGTCAATATTATTCTGGGGAATCTGTGTAATCTGACTTTTAAAGCAGTGGGTTCTGGTGTAATAAAACCCAATATTCACATGAAACGCTGAAGAAAACCTCGAGAAGCTTCATGATATCCACACTAGAACCCTGACTCCCAAACATAAAACAATTTTTATAACCTCCGAGCCTCTGTGTTCGATACAGATTTTAGAGTTGGCTGTGTTGAATCTCAGAGTTCTACTGCTGGAGAGCTAGTAAATGCCAGAGTGGTAAGCAGTTCACCGAACATAAAAATTACGTCGAACTTCTAAAGTCGACACCGGTAGATTTCTGATCTATCTTTTGTTTTATCTTTACACTCAAGACCCTGCTGTCAAATTATCTGTGCCAGTTCTGTGTATGATCGTTGATGTCTTATATTGTCCTTTTTTTGTTACCTTTGTAAAATGGTTCTTAATCTATTTATACTTAAACTCTAAATTGACAACTAGTAGACGGTTCGACTGTCAGACTCGATTTCTCAAGCAATTAAAGGAAGAAAGAAAATTCCTATTTTAATTATCGGAAAATAAAATTCGTCTAAATAATACTTATTTATATTCAAAAGTAACGTTGCTTAGGGAAATAAGTTGTGTTTACTGTGAGAACCAAACGAAACTCGCACTATGTGGGAATAATGTAGAGTTACTAATATATATATAGTTACCACCGGACTTAAATGGTTAATCCTTCACAGCTCTGCTGATTAAACGCGAGACGCTGTTTTGTGGCTCTGCTGAAGCTGGAAACCTTTGCGTTAGATCAGTGGGATTTATGAAGATGAAAGTAGAACTGATGAAAAACAGGTTTAGCTTTCGAGGAATCAAGCTGCTACCCCAATTCTCTGCACTGTGAAACATTTCTGTAGCGACCATGTGACAGAGTGAAATTAAACATGGCGCCAATTTAAAAATATTTCAAAGATGTTTTCCTTTCTGAATGAATTCAAACATGTTCTTGTCACTACATTCTGTTCATATAAACGTATTTCTATTTTTAAATCCTACTCAGACAGGTGATTGGACTCCTTGAACTGGCGACCGGGCTGTTTCAAATGTGTGCCTTTAGGGGCTAACATTAAGAAGAAAACGGAATTATGAACGTGTGTTAAGTTTCTTGTGAAATCTGTCTGTTGTATAGGTAGCCTAACTGTAGGTACTACGTTGTAAATATGGCGAACATGCGTTACATGGCAGAGCGTTGGCAGAATGTTAGATACATTTTTCGACAGCTTACAATTTTAATAAGTTCTTTTTTTCTAATCTGTTAGTTACTTTTAAATCGGGTGACTTTGGTGAAAATTGCTCATAGGACACACGTTAAAATATTTTATGTTATGCGTACGTAGAGCATTTGTTCAAGACATTTTATCTCGTGTTTAAATTAGTAAGATACGACAAAACTGTTAAAGGGTCTATAAATAACAAGTTCTTTACAGCAAATAAGATGCAGTTTTATAAAAAAAATCCGTCAGAAAACTCAGCTATAGAAACCGAACTGAAATAAATATTATAAAACCTAAAAAAATATCTCAGAAAATATTATGTTGCTTTAAGAATTCATTTGCTCTAAGTTTTCAAATAAAATCTCCCTTAAAATGATGCAGACTAAGCCAAAAATAAATGAGTCGACAAATCTTATCAGCGATCTACTAAGGCCTAAGCCAAGTATGATCGATTTTGGTAAGATTTCAAGGTTCTACACCGAAATCCCTGTTGCTGTGGGTCTGTCCACAGTGTCGTAGATAAATATCAAGAATTTGTGTCCTTTAATAGCAAAATGTTCGTGACTAATTTCATAGAATTCACACAGTTAGTGTCTACAAATTATTTATTTCTGTAATTGATTCAGCGAAATGACGAGCTAACAGCTTAGCTTGCTAATACGGTTTAAAAAAAGATATTCTGTTCTTTCGGAATCAAGAATTTTGTAGATAGGCCTTTTCCTTCTGTTCTGTGATCTTATCCATGTTAAAATTACTTTGTTAGGGATGTTCTTCGGAAGATTAAGTACACAGTGGCAATTTTCTTGGTCGGGAGTGTACCTGGGGCTGTGCCACGTCGATGTACAGTGCGAGGTTGGGCGGAATTGAATTATGCCAGGAACACTGTCATTCTCTGCGTGTGCCTTCCATACACTGAGATCGTGAGGAGGAAAGCTGTGCCAGTAGTAAATCTGGCAAATAAAGAACAAAGATTTGGATCATAATATTATGCAGAAAGTGTTCGACATTGCCAGTTCGGTTTAAACGGCTTTGTGTTTCTGTTATAAAGAAAGATGTCATGACTAGGATTAGGAACAATACATACGTTCGACACTTATAAACATTTGTGCCTGTGTATCGGTTAATTTACCCTTGTCTACGCTTCTCACATAAACTTAAACTTTGGACCTGTTGAGTATTTGTGATACTCTGTCACGAAAGAAAATACTGGAATTTTAGGCCTTGTGCCTTTCAGGAGACCGTAACACCAGCTGACGCAATATTAGGAGAAAAAAATATAGGTCAATGCCTGAGAATAGCATGAAATTGCTTATGGTCGCAACAAAAGTACAGTTACATTTTATTTGTTTTTCGTTTCGTGTGCAAAGTAAATGTTCTCATTCTTTTTAAAAAGTGATGCAGAATTCCTTATGGACTCATGGTCCACCAGGTTATAGTCCCAAATGTTACAAGTTGTTGAAACTTCCTGGGAATTCATTAAGAATGCTATTAACTTAGTGTTGCAAACAAAATCACGTATTATCCAATAGTTTTCTTTAACAAACGTTTAACAAATGTTCTTAAGAATTCACTTAAAATTAAACATTTCGCTCTGGATAAAACAGTTTTTCATCATATAGCGTAATGCAGGACCACAGAAATATACACGGACCGCACAAAACACTTCAGAGGGTCGTTTGCGGCCCGCAGGCCGCTGGCTGATAACCTCTATTATAAAGCTTTCTAGGCGTTTAGCTGACGCCTAGGCATGTGTCTGAAAGAGACGACGCCCTTCTGTGTTTGATGGGCGTTTTATATTTGTTTGTTTGAACATATGCTAGTCGGAGCCTTCTTAATTTGGCAAGACTTATTATTCAGACAGAGCCGAGATATCGCATTTAATTTAACAGTGAGAACTAGAATTGACATTTTGTATGACGTTCCTTGAAATATCTGCAAGTTGAATGTATCAGAAGAATACCACGGTTTTTGCAACATTGGTAAAAAAATCTGTGCTGAGGAAGGTGCTTATCAAATACGTACAGTAATGTCTTATTTATTTATAGTATATTTAACGACGCTTTCTCAGTAGCTCAGACTGTATAGCATCGAATTAGAGGATGATAGTGAATAATGAATTGGAAAGGACGTGGAAGGAGGCGGTCGTGTAATGAAACCCTAAATGAAATTGCGTAAACATCACACAAGTGAATGAAATCTCTCGCCTGCAAGTATATTTAATTACAATTGTTTAATTCTAACTCACAAATACGACGGCAGCAGAATTCGAAAATACGACATTTCTAATACTAAATGTCGCCATTGGATACGATCCTGGGCTACTTATTTTATTTTATATACTGTACCATTCTCTGTCAGATCTCTTTTTCACTTTGTATCAGCTACATAACAGTGTACATTTTAAAACATTAATTAGTTCCTGGTATTTCTGGCGACATGTTTGGATATTAATTGTGTAATCTTCGGGCCAAACCGAACTAATATATTGCATTTTAAATGGGACTATTTACATATACTTGTTCTGGTTATGTTATTACTAAACTAACTAACTAACTAGATGGCTTACCGAACCCGAAGGTTCATCACCGAATTAACCAAAGCCCTCCACCGGACCCTGTCCTGGGCCAACAAAATCCAGTTTCCTTCAACTCCTATCTCCCATAGATCCCGCCTGAGATTATCCTCCCATCTACGTCTAGGTCTCCCCAGCGGTCTCTTCCCTTCAGGTTTCCCAACCAGTACCCGGTGCACACCTCTTGTCCCATCCATGCGCGCTACATGTCCCGCCCATCTCACCCTTCTCGACTTAATCACCCTCACAATACTGGGGGAGCAGTACAGATTTTTAAGCTCGTCATTGTGCAGTTTTCTCCACGCCCCATCGTCTTCCCTCCTAGGCCCAAATATCCTCCTCAACACCCGATTCTCAAACACCGGCAATCTGTGTTCCTCCCTCTGAGTGAGAGACCATGTTTCGCACCCATACAAAACAACAGGCAAGATTATTGTTTTGTATACTTTAATTTTCAGGTTCTTAGAAATCAGACGGGAAGACAAAATATTTTGGACTGAGAAGTAGCAAGCATTTCCGGAATTTAGTCTCCTCCTAACTTCCTCACAAGTATCATTTTGATTTGTTATTGTTGTTCCCAAATATTTGAACTTTGTAACCCTTTCAAAGGATTTATTAGCTACCCTAAGATAATTTTGCCCGCCTGTCTTCTGATGACGAGATACTAACATGTACTTAGTTTTTTCTGAATTTACTTCCAGCCCCACTTGTCTACCAGCCTCTAGTAAAACTTCTGCGTTCCTCTTTATTGTATTTATATCGTCCCCCAATAAATTAACATCATCAGCATATGCCAATAGCTGATGTGTCCCGTTCAATTGCAAACCCTCCTGCCTACCTTGGACCTTCCTGATGGCGTATTCTAGCGCAAAGTTAAAGAGCAAGGGAGACAAAGCATCTCCTTGTTTTAGACCGTTCTTGATGAGGAATGTCTCAGATACATATTTACCTACTCGAATTTTGCTGCAGGTTTCATTTAAGCACATTTTTATTAGACCCACTAGCTTCTTTGGTATACCAAATTCAATAAGAATATTATATAGCACTTCTCTCTTCACAGAGTCATAGGCTTTTTTGAAATCTATAAATAACTGATGTACAGTCCCACCGAACTCCCATTTTTTCTCTAGTATCTGACGAATGCAAAAGATCTGATCAATCGTTGATCTGTTTCGTCTGAACCCACACTGATGATCCCCAATAGTTTCATTCGCATATGGGGTTAATCTTGCCAAAAGAATGTTGGATAGAATTTTGTATGAGGTTGATAGCAGCGATATTCCTCGGTAATTACCACACTCAGTCTTGTCCCCCTTCTTATAAATAGGAATAATTATGGATTCCTTCCATTGATGTGGCATCTCTTCCTTATCCCAAATTAACTGAATAAGCTTATGGATCCTCATATGCAACCCTTTGCCACCTGCTTTAATTAATTCGGCCGGAATCTGATCAATTCCTGGAGATTTATAACTTTTCAACTTCCCAATGGCTAGTTCCACTTCATCTAAGCTAGGTTCTGGCACCAACAGTTCAGCTGTATGCATTTTAATCTGTCTAATATCACCAGTATTATGAACATTTAAGAGCTCGCTAAAGAAATTTTTCCACCTATTCACAATTTTTATTGGATCTGCAAGCAAATTGCCACTATCATCCTTTACCAAATTAGTCTGGGGTTGATATCCTTTCTTAAAGTTATTAATGCCTCTGTACAGGTCTCTGATGTTTTTTTCCTTATTATTTGTCTCAAGTTCAGCAATTTTGCCCTTCAGGTATTCCCTTTTCTTAGTCCTAAAGGTTCTACTAGCCTCACGTCTCACGTTACATAGATTATCCGCATTTGTTTTGTTTGGGTTCTGCAACCATTGAAATTTTGTTTGCTTCCTTCGATCTATTAATTTTGAACATTCTTCATCAAACCACGGTTTATTTTGCTTTCTCCTGTAGTATCCTAGTTTCTCTTTTGCTGAAATTTTGATGCAGTTTCTGACATTTTCCCACTCCCTGTTGATGTCCACACTTTCATTATCCTCATTTGTCTCTAAAATTTGAAACCTATTCGAAATTTCAACTTGATATTGTTCCTTTGCCTCTCCCTCACTTAATTTTTTCAAATCAAATCTTTCTGTGTCAAAATTTTGTTTAGTTCGTCTACTTACTGAAAGCCGCTCCCTCACTTTTGCTACCACCAGATAATGATCAGTGTCGCAATCTGCTCCTCTGAATGATCTCACATCAATTACATTTGTCTGCCTTCTCTTATCTACTAAAACATGATCTATTTGATTGTGTGTTCTGCCATCTGGGGAAGTCCAAGTGTATTTATGAACATCACGGTGTGGAAATTTTGTACTTTTTACAATTAAATCTTTTGACGTAGCGAAGGTCACTGCTCTGACGCCATTATCATTACTAAGTGCATGGAGACTCTCGCTGCCTATTGTGGGTTTGAAGACATCCTCCCTCCCAATTTTTGCATTGAAATCTCCTAGCAGAATTTTCATGTGATACTTGCCAAATGTATCAAATACTGATTCCAATTCTTCATAAAAGCTATCCTTGATATCATCGCTTTTGTCTTCAGTTGGGGCATGAACATTAAGGACAATGATGTCGCACCAACGTCCTTCCAAAATTACGTAAGACAACCTGTCACTAACAAATTCTACTCTCTTAACTGCTGCCCTAATTCTGCTATGAACAAAAAAACCCGTCCCTAGCTGATGATTGTCATTCCCCTTTCCATAGAAAAATGTAAAATTGTCCACTGGGATCGTGCCCTCCCCCTCCCATCGCACTTCCTGCACTGCCACTAAGTCTAACTTATAATTCCCTAATTCCCTAAACACTGATTTCAGTGCCCCAGCCCTATAGAGGCTCCTAATGTTCCAGGTACCAAATCTCATGTCCTTTTTCAATTGCCGTGGTCGTGCCAAAGAGTCCGTCCTGATCCGAGGCTTGGTTGATTTTTTCGTAACACATATTTTTTTTAAAGGTGAAAGGTTGTTAGCCCTACACCCAACCCCCAACCTGGAGGACCAGGGTATCACTCTTAGTCTAGCGCATCTCCTTAGACCTGTCCGGCTTGGGTGACCCTACCATGAGCCGAAGCTCAGGCCGGCATAGCCCTAAGGGTCATTTGAGCACGCAAGCCTCCTCACCCGGCAGATTGCCTTCGACAAGGTGGTGATACCTTCGAGAAGGGGTTATGTTATTACTGGAAATATATCTTGTTCTTTCGTTCTATTTTCTCGTAATATTACCTAAATAAGTCCATTTGTTATATTAAGCATACACTGTTATAAAAATAGGCATTTTCAGGAAAAATTAAAATAAATAACATTATCGTATAGAAAATAAATATTAGAATAAAATTAATATGAATAACAACTTCATCAGTACAGTTGTACAGAAATCAAATATAAATAGTTCCATTTGTAATATTTTATACATATTAAAAATTGATGTTTTATATTAGTTCAGTAATGCAAGTATCCCCCGAAGATAACATATTTACTGTCGAAATATGTCGCCAGGAATGTCATGAACTAATTAATAACTAAAAATATCTGCTGTTGTGTGGATGGTATAAAATAAGTAACAGAATAGTTTTCATAGCTCCCGGTTTTACAACGTACTTTCCAAAGACAAATTGTAACCTAATATTATTCTCCCTTCTCCTTCTAGTATTCCAATCAAAATAATTTCTGTATGACCCCCATCTTAGTCAATGCCCAGACCATTTAAGCCTTTTACAGGTATGTTTTACTATCCTAAGAGTAACCTACTACTATCATCGCCCTGATGATGGAAGCAGTAAGCACATAAGAAATGTCGGTAAACTTCTGCCAGACTACACATGAGAAACATAACTGCCTGAATTACTCGTTTACGTCTTAGGTCCAAATGGTTTAACGGGCATTTGTTTTCAAACAAATCCCCCAAAGTAAGAGACCACGCTTCATAATCACACAAAACTATAAGTAAAATTATTTTGTATCGACCGCTCCTTGCGGTTGTGTTGAATTATACATAACACATACACACACACACCCTGTGAGAAATCTCGGTTGAATTAAACACAATTGGAATGTTATTTTGTGGATGTTATTTGTGTTACTGAACAACGAATGACTGTAATTTACAACTTCATTTCATTCTTGGTGTAAAATTTCGAATTTCTCAGCTGGAGGTATGTTAACGAACTTAGAGCGGCGTCTCAATCACTTTCCCAGCCTCAAGATTTTTTTTTATCTTACAGCCAATTGGAAACGGCGTAGAGATGATAGACTCATCATTGTTCTCACTTCAGAAAGACACTTCCAGGAAACAGCAAAACGCCGGAACCAGCGATTAACACAGTCCCCACGTGCATGGCGTTCACTTCATCCACACCTACTCTCTTTCTTTGTTTCGGCGTCACGGTTAAAACTTGTAGGACATTATTCTTGCGAGCTACACACCAAACAGGCTGTGGGTCTGTTCCTACTGCTTTTAATTCCCACACAAAACGCACTGCAGCTTGTGGAGCTGGTAGCGGAATTCACAAACCGTAGGCTAATATAACCCCCCATCTTCTGTTTTATTGTTATTAAGTGATCTGATGACGTTGCCAGCTGGCCCGTGGCCAGTTTATTTTTCCAAATGGCGAAAAGAAATTTACAATATTTATGTATATTAACTGATCAACAGCGCCATTTCTGTAGGCAACGAGGCAGTCTTTGGCAAACAAAACAAGGTAAATAAATAAATAAAACTTGATAAATGTATATAGGCTTACTTTCTTTTAAAGATTAACTTCTTACATTTTGGTTTATACAATTCAGTAGAAATCAAAAGCTTCCATCATTTTCACACAGTTTTGCAAAGAATATTTTTCCAGACATTTGTTATTATCTAATAATTATATCAGCTTCAGTTTTGTACCCTGTAATTCCTATTGTAAATTAAATTTTATTTTATGAAAATTAATATAAAATGAAGATCGAAAACTTTTATCAAGCACTGACGAATCGAAAATCTTAAATAACTTATGATGCTTTAAAACTCCTAATTACAGTAAAATCTTATTTCATCGTTCGGTTCCTACCTCTAAGCAAACACCGGCCTAGCGTTACAGAGTTCAGTGTTTCATGCTGTTAAGAGACGCTGTTTTGTTTATTTTGGAAACTAAATGAAATCCGTAATTGGAGCATGTGGGCTACATGTCGTCTACTAAACGTAAAGCAAATGGTACATAATAGTTGCCAATATCCTATAAAACAAAACGGCAGTTACAAATAAATTTAAAGATTTTTTGGGCGTCGAAGGAATTTTTGGGTTGCCGAGTAGGACCTGGAATAACATTTTAAAGCCTAGGCATAATTCTGTATTTTACCGAAAAGTTAGTATTTACCTATTCGTACAAGTTCAGTCGGCTTTGCTATCCAGAAGTCTAACATTGGCATCTTAATCTCCGTGAGAACGTCAAATCTCATGTTGTTGTAAAAGTATTAATTTCATCAACTTTACTCAAACGTTTTGTTCGAAGACGTCTCTTGATTTCAACAATTAATAACAAAATCCTACAGTAAAATTGATAATACAGGTCTAAGTACATTGAACGCAATTAAAAATTACGAATTTAACATAATTATCAAGATATCATATTTGCATACGCTTATCTTCAACTACAAATTGTGCGTATGATCTAAAGCTTTCACGGCGACAATGTATAATGAATTATATTGGGGCTACTAGCCGTGTTTGGTAGTTGAATGAAGAAAACACAGTTTCGAAAACCATCTTCGTCCTAATCCTCAGGGAACTTATGGCGCAACCATCTCCTTTCGTATCCTTATGAATTTATTATGTATTAATCTTCCCATAATTCCATGCTCTATTGTCTGAGACACTGAAACTGTCGTTTAATACATTACAGTTACAATAAATCCAACACAGTATTCTTAAATATAGTTTATGGACATATAAAGGACTATGTTATGTTCTTATTGTCGTACTCTCGTGATTATTCTCATAAATTCTGCATTGTTCATGTCGCATTCCTTAATTTCATTCTTGGATATGGATCGCAATTGGCGTTTAAAACCGATGTTTTTGTGTTATCTCGCGGATACCAAGAACTGCGCAGTAACACCCGATTCCAGCAATTCAGCGTGAAACAATCTCCTGAACACTGAAATTCTCTTCAGCCCTGAATAAAGAGATCACGAAAACCCTCTTGTCACCTTCACGTGGTGATCCTACTCTGGTCTGTCTCTCTCGCGCCATGAGACGAATTTTCTCCACTGAGTTAGCCGTGGTTCTCTGGGTCTTTGTAAGCCAAGATACGGTAACAATATCATGAATAGGAGTAGGAATTGATAGGATGCATGGTTAAGTATTCACGGTTTAATGTGAGAGGCCTTACTGTATAGCATAGGTTAATCAAATGAGCTATTCATCGGAAGGGCTGGGCAAAAAGTAAAACGAAACTTTGCTTACAAGTACAATAGAGCGTACAAAGACTGCATTCAAGTTAAATGAAAATCACCTAATTTCTAAATAAGATTTCGTAGAAAGAAGCTGATTTGTTCATCTCTTTCAGTTGATGGAAGTTAAAAAGAAGGGAGTGATGCAAAGAATGTACTAGTTCTCCAACAATAAACACTGTAAATGTTTTATCATACGGATGAGTTTGGAGAAAATTCAATTCTTCCCCTCGCCTTTTCCAGATCCAGACAAGAATGTTTCCTTGTGCAGAACCGATATGAACAGTTTTAAACAAGAAGAGTGGAAGTAATTGCAGTTGCAGTAATACTACAACACTTATCGAAAATCGTAGCCGAGGGATTACCACTCCTGATTCCTATTCGGGAGATCCTACGATCGAATCTCGAAACGGACAACGACTCACCTGCTTTCTTTGTAATTAATTCAGTCCCTCCAGGCATTTGACGGTATCTTAAATTATCCACAGTTGCTTCCAGATCATTTCCATTAATTTTTATTCGAAGCTGTATAGACCTAGTCTGAGTTACTTTCAGCGTCGTGAAATAAACACCAAATAAGTACCATAACCTGTCTGTGGAAAAAATTATTCAGTGGGTCTAGCTTGTCGAAAAAGAGATGGACGGGGCATGTATTAAGCACTGGAGATATAAATATGAAGTTTTTCTTCTACATGTGAACGGAATAAACTATATTGAAAACCGAAGACTAGGAAAGATAATATTAAAATATAAGTTTTCGTAAATAATGAGCCTGTTGTTGCTGCCTGATTTCGAACAAAATCAGGATATGTCGACTTATTTTAGTACACTGTTTAGAATCAAATTTTATGAAAATCCGTTCAGCATTTCTCAGGTTGTTGCATGCAGATAGAAAGACGCGGGGACGAAGCTGTCTTAATATTCGTTCTGTGAAAATGCGAATGTGCTTAAAATACTATTTGTTTGGATCAGGGTAGAGACCGGTTGCCAAAAAAAAAAATTCTTCTCTAGGTGACGAACTTGTAACTCGCCAAGAAGACATTCTGCAACTGTGAGTTAGAGAAATGGCCACTGATGAGTAGTATACGTCTAATGGCCCGAGATGTTCTTAGTTTTCTTATTAAGTAACCTTCTCTTATTATAACACGTATCAAGGGCTCTAATTTTTGTGTTTAGTCGCATTATTATGAGGGCCTATGGCGAGAAACTTTCTTCGATCAAGTATATTAACGAGCGAGATTCATAAACGGCAGGGAATTTCTTGATTAGCTAAGGGACCATTAGTTCTCGAGAACTGTGTTATCTTAGTTTCTTTTACATTCTGTTAATCGACACTTTTCGAAATTATTTCTGTTGTTTATATATAGTTTTCTATATCTTCCTAAAAAGAATTTACACCTTTGTGTAATAAATTAACTTTATCAACAGATGCCGACTGGCATACATGCCATTTCACTGTACGACGAGCCCTTAGATTTGAACTTCAGGCATTGGACTGGTTAGAACCGGACTGTTCTTATACACCTCATCTAGTAGAATACAAATTGAATAGAAATCCTTTGAATAGTCTCTACTATGGGTTAGGATGGGCTGCAACGACCACAATTATGTTCTCATTCACTGCTCGTCATGCAAGGAACGAATAGTGTGGATATTTTAATAGTTAGCAGCAATATTTTTGCCCCTCGTTTTACTTTCATTTTAACGATAACAATCTCCATGAACTACATAGAGGTTTGCCATGCATCGGAAGGTGATTCGGAAGCAAATTTAGAGTAAAAAATGTTAGCACAGCATTGGTTTTATTTTCAACCGTTTCAGATAAATTTATTACTACATTTTATGAGATTGGTCTGCGTCTTATATATGTTAAAAATGTCAGCTGCGGTTTTAAACTCACAACCTTGCTCGTTTTAACCAAGCATCTACTGTCCGTTGAATCATAAAATATGATGCAAGATTTTCTCACTCGTGTCGGCTTTGATCATATGGGTCGTCTCCTCCATTATATTCCACAAAAACAAGCTGAGTTAGGTCCGGAGATCTCGGTGGTCAAGGTACTGAATCACGACGACCAATTCAATGATTTTCATGAAGATGATTCAAGTAAACCGTAACTTGACTAAAATGTGGAGGCGTCAAATCGAGCTGAAAGAAGTCCACAAACAGGTCCTTCATTTAAAGTGGCAATTCGCATCTGAGAACTGCTTACCTGGGAATCAATAGTGGCAATAATTTCAGTCAAAACCGTCGCCAGTTTTGCCACCTGTCGAAGTACATACAAGTAGGCGTTTGTTGTTTGCACATTTTAAAACTCCCCTAGCTCTTCAAAGGTTGCAAATATAACCATTGTTATATTTACATTTTTTATTTGAAATTACATCCTGAACCCCCACATTGGAGTAGAACAGTTGTGAGAAACCTTGTTTTATATTAATAATATTTCTCTGCATGTTCGGCCTACATTTGAAGCATCTGGAACCAACGCATATAAGCTCATTAATACTGGTTTACTTAAAAGTTAACGAGTTCATGAGGCCATCTTACGGTTATTATATAAGAATTTCCGATATAGGCGACGTATAAATGCAACGAGTAGGTCAGATAACAATCCACGTGCATAGGAAACGCGTCTATTAGGCCTATATCTTGTGAAAAAAACACACTAATTAGCATTAAGTACTTACATTTCCTCTCCACAGACACACACGATCACAATTATCATCAGTGTAGATGACATTTATTTTTTGTACGGAAGCCAAAGCAGTAAACTACAACATATCATTAACAAAGTTTTCCACGAAAGTAACGTCATATCCACCGTCTGAATCGACCTCATTAAACAGCTGCAACAGCTTCAGAATTTAACTTTTTAGTTATTCGTCGCCATAAGTGAGTACTGGTAGGTAAAATCCGAACGTAGCCATCTTAAAACAAAAAGTTTGTGTCCCTGTAGTATGGCACGTTCGAGGTTAATGTAGTCAAAGCTAGTCAAGAAGGTCCCAGACTTGTATGGACCCAAAGGCCCTTTCCTGTTTTTTTTAAGAAGCCACTAGATCTTTTCCTAAGCCAGATTAATCCGGTCCGTATTATCACGTCCTATGTCTATGGACGTCGGCGTAGCTCAGTCGGTATAGTGACTGGCTACGGACTGGGCGACCGGGGTTCGATCCCCGACGGGGGCAGACGATTTTTCCTCTAGCCTCTGCGTCCAGACCGACTCTGGGGCCCACCCAGCCTCCTATCCAATGGGTACCGGGGTCCTTTCCCGGGGGAAAAGCCGGCCGGGTGTGATGCTGACCACTCACCCCCATCTAGTGCCGAGGTCAAGAATGAGTAGGAGCTATACCTCCACTCCCCCCAAGCGCCTACATGGCGTATAGTGGGACAGCTTTTATGTCTGTAAGATTTATTCCATTTTCAAATAGTCTCTTCCTGTAAGTTTTTTGATTAATATTCCGTATAAATGTAACATCTCTCCCATATGTACTGTATGTCTCACCCATCTCATCCACCATAATTTGATCATATTTGGTTAGGAGTACAAACAAAAATAACCATTAGTCTTAATAAAAGCGGCAATCTAATCTTATTTAGAAACCTTTCACGGTGTGTAAATCTGAAAACATTAATAAAAAATAGTAATTACGTTTAAAAAATACTACTCACTCCTCAGTACGTGATGTGTTCTCATGTAATCTACATTCATATTTATAGATTACCAGTTGGTTATTATGGAAGTGAAATACTATTCCTTATTTTTTGAACATTGTGTTTAGTTGAACCAGAAGCATTAGAAACAAAATGAAAGATAAGACAGCAATCTTTTCGTCTCTCAGTTGGGAAAACACTGATTTAGGCATGCGCAGTATCACTTCATTGCCAGATCATAAGCAGCAAGAAACAGAAAGACTGCTCATAAATTTAATTACTGAAGAGCGGAACAGTAGGAGAGGGGGTGATAGACACTTTTGGTACTAATCATCTGCCCTCCTGCGGGTAAGCCAGCAATTACGGGGTAAGTGCTTTAATAAGTTGTGTCACACATGAGTCGTTCATATGCCAACATACGACGGAATATGAGATGGTGTATTATTCTGATTTCCATTACAATAATTAATAAGATCAGAGTGCAGCCTGCTCTAACGTAATTGGTTTCGTCATTTTCCTCAGTTTCTGCAACCTAAATGTGATAGAGCATACAGTATCCTGAAAGAGGTGACAAGCTATTTTCCAGTCTCTTTAGAAATCATGACCAGCTTAACATGGCAATACCGAATAGCTGTACTAACTGAGATTTTACCTTTTTTTCTGTCTCTCGAAGCAATTTCTAAGATGGAACCTTGAAATAACTCACGGACACTTCTTTCCTTATCCTTCTTTACTCATTTGACGCTATGAATTGTAACTTCTTCAGTTTATAGAGAATTGTTAAATGTATCACGAATAAATGTTATTGAAATTGTTACTCTAAAATTAACTCAGTTCTCTATATCAGGGGAAAAATTTTACCAGCATAAGTTCTTCATGATTTTAAAGTAATCTATAACCTTTCGAACGCGGATTTTCTGCCTTCAAATGTATATTTAAACATTTATCATACATAAATATTACATAGTACATTGTCCTGTATCACACATGACGTTTCGGACGTCATTTCTGCTTCTATCTCTGCGTAACTATTTTTAATTACACTGACGCATTATTTGTAACTAATTTTTATTCTGATAGGTTGTACTAGTGGCGACAATTTTGATCGAAAACTGGACCTTTCGAATATTTATCTCGTTGCCTACGCTAACCACTAGACCACTAGGATGTACCAGCCTCTTATTTAAAATATCCCCATTTCGACTCTAGCTGTCTGTAGTAATACTAAATAATTTGTTAGTAGGTCCATAATGACAACGAAAAGCCTGAGGAAGGGATTAGGGCCAAATATCGAGATATGTTTTAGACTATATAAAATATAACTGAAATAGTGGACAAAGGCAACATAATGCTCTTACTGCATAATGAGTCAACCATTGTTACAAGTCTTTTGAAAACTATATTTCTCATTGTATGTGAAACAGCTTAATAAAACATTAAAAAATATCTGTGTAATAAGCAGTAAATATTCTTAACAGTTTAAATGTTCAAAAAAAAATTATGACAACAAATGTACAGCCTATACATGCAAGGTTTAGGGAACCAGAAAACGTACCACAAGATGCTATTTTGCTGAATGTTAGTATCCTTGCATACAATATTAATTTCTGACTTACTTAATTGCGTTTTTATCACACGTGTTACATAACAAGTCCATGGGTTTTTATATTCGTAGATAGTAGCCTGATTTAAATGTATAAAGCAGAAACTTTTCTCGCATAACTGAATAATTTTCTATAAACATATTAAAGCTGAATTTTCATTACAGATAATAATGTTTAACACCCGTCACAACGATTAGAATTTCACTGGTTAGTTATAGCCTACTCATACATGCTGTGTTACAAATTTTGATAATTTTAGAGGGAGATTATACATAACAGAGAATGCTTGTAAGGTTACCGACCATTATAGCCTATAGGTTCAG